TCAAAAAAAGCCTGCTTCGTAGAGACACTTGAATAAATAAAAGCCATCTTATAGTACATGTAAAGTGTAACTATACTTAAAAGTCCTTGTACCCATTATACTGAAACTAGTAAACTTGTAAATATTAGCATTCCAATATCTCTCAGCTGTTTTCAGAGTTACCATAATGGGTCAACAATTTGACTAAGAGTGTCCTTGAAATTGATTCCTCTAAAAACTAGTAAGGTTGGAGAGAGAGAGGGGGGGTGGTGTGATGATTGGTTTAGTGTGATTTATGGCATTCCAGTGCCCTTGCATGGAGATGAACTAGAGAGGATTGTTATTGAAGAGAGTGCCAGTGTTGTGTGAATGAGTGAAGGCATCTGCATGTGTGGGTTTGTGAGGTCAGAATTGGAATTGATACACTTTAAGATGTCTTGGTGAGTTGCGAGGATCAGTCACTGCAGGGTGGAGAATGGATTTGTCATGTCATTAACGCTTATTGCATCCCGAATATGTGAAAAAGGAGAAAATATGTGAAAAAGGGGGGAACGTTTAGTCTCTCTCCATACAAAAGGCAGTTTATATATTTGATTGTGACCCCACCCCCTCCATTCCCATTCCCACCAACTCTAATGAAAGTCTATGATATGTCCTTATAATTAGAAAACAATATCATTTAATTTAGATAATTTGTTAATCAGGATATTGGGATGCTGTGGTTTCAGACAATTGTCTTTAATTTATGAATGAAAAGTCATAGCAATTAATTATTTGGCAACGTACAGTCCTTGGACTTGTAATAATCTCCCTCTCTGTATCACTTTCTCACTTAAAGATTCAGTCGTTCATTTATAATAAATCCTATTTGTCCCTTTCCTTTCGCATGGTTCAATTTAATCAATATTTATTGTTCGTTGCTGCGGGTAAAATATTCTATAATCAATCAATTATTATTCCGTGCCATGTGGTTTGGTGGTTATATTGAGAATTAACAAACTTTTCGTTTAACACAGTGTTGCAAAGTTAGTGGGTAAAGAAAATCAGTCGCAGGTCAAACACCACGCAATAAAAATTTGTCTCGTCAGATGAATAATTTGCAAGTCAACACAATTTATAGTAGTAAGACTTGAGGTCTTGTGAGGAATGATACTGCCTTGGTTTGCCCTCTCCCTGTTTTTTTTCTTTCGGGTTAACAAATTGGAAATTTACGAGCCATACTGTTTAGTGATAAATTTTTACAACACAGTGAAATTGTGGAGCAACGTGGTTGTATATCCATC